TCACCGTGCTCCCTGCCCTGTGTTCCAGGACAAGGTCTGTACACGCTCAGCTTGGCCGAGGTCCTGCTGCCCGGCTGAGCGCTCTCCCCTCACGGCCGAGCASAAGGAACCCTCTGCCTCCATCAAGAGCTACCTGAGGCACCTGCGCCAGCGCTGCCTGCGGGGGGACRCGCTCCAGAGAGGAGGGAACARGAGAGCGTGGAARGACTTGGAYGAGGAGGCAGCACTTTACTCTGACTGAGAAAACAATACCTGCTGGGCWAATGGAGAAATGTTCTGCAAGATTTCTAATTCAGCTTTTTTATTATTATTAAAATTATTTATTTAGAAAGACAGCTATTATTATTGTTTCAACTTTTGTCTTGCTAACAAGCTGACTGTAACTCCTATGAGAAAGTGAAGTCAATTCATCTCTGCACACACACTCACAAAGGATGGAGTTGATCCTGCTACATCCTTTCTAAAATTTGTGGGGTTAGACTATTATTGAGGACACACAAGAGTGGAAACAGTTGCTCTAGGTCCTCTTGTCTCCTCTGCCCAGCCTCAAGTAATAAATTACCGTGAAAATCTTCACCAGAAACAGTTGAACATTCATGTGCCACTCCCACTTTTCCCCCTCTAGATCCACCCATCATATTCTACCCCTCTACCTATGCAATCCAGTTTGATTTAGCTCCTCCTACATCATCTTTTGGGTCTTCAGCCATGTTCAAAACATCTGAGAGTCCACAGAGCCACAGCTTGAAGTAGTATGAGGTTAATTAGCTGAGCTCTTCACACCAAAATCAGGAAACAGGCAGTCCTAGCCCTCAGCTTTGCTTACAACTCCTTCCAGCTCAGCCCAAAGGAAAAGGGTCTTTAGAGCTTACACATGGGTAGAAAAACACATTAGACTGAGTCAACAAGAACTGCAGTCGAAAAGCTAACAGGTAAAGTTCATCTGAACCAAGAGGGAAAAGGACTGACAGAACATCTCACTAGAGGGAGCCCCCACCCAGGAGATAAATGTACTCTGTGGGCACAATGAACGAGGATGGCACAAACCGATAGCACTGGAAAATCAGCCCTGAAACTCAATCACTGCTCAAATAGCCAGGGTTCTAAAGTCTAGTATACTTTAAAGTACATTAATTTTTCAAACAGGTCTCAAGCAACCAATTACAGAAATCCCCAAAGCAATACCAAAGAGTTTACCACTAGAGGGAGGAGAAAAACCTACAGCTGGAAGAGTTTATTATTAAGAAACACATTTGCATTTTAAAAYGCCTGCTAATGAATGATTAGAGCACAGACCCTGTAGTAAAAATAGGTACCAAAGCCCCATAGTAAAAAACAATTCCTATGGCAAAGTAAGTCTCTTGACAGTCTATGAGCAAAAGCCAAAGAGATCAGGGAGCACAAGTGAGAAAGAATGAYGGCAGTGAGGCTCACAGGCTCATACTGTTAAAATGGAAATTTGTTTAACAGGTCACATTTCTCCTCTAGTTCATAGTAACAAGTAACAGAGTGGGTTGCAAGAGGAAAAAAGCTGAAAAGGGAAGAACTTCACCATTTCTAGTCAGCTTTAGAATTCACAGCTGAAAGAAGTAAATTAATTCCAAGTTCAACAGAAATACGTCTGCCCCACTACATCATTCCTGCTACAATAGCTACTAGCAGAGATACCTATCCCCACAAGGAAGGCTTCTCTAAGAGGATCTGGAAAAAGAACCTGAGCAAGGGACAAGAATCACATCATACCCAGACAAGAGCCAGGCTTTCCACTCCTGGAAGAATCCTCAGCAAATACTTGACTGGGACACTAAACCACTTTTCTTGGGTTGCTGAAAAAACAACAGAGTTGAGCAAGCTTTAGGAGTGCATCTGATCCTAGGGGACTGTGCAACAACAATTCTGCTACACATTCAGCTTTTTCCCTTCAGTGCCTATTTTTTTTAAATTAAGGCTTTGTTTTCACAAGTTTCCTGTACAGACTAAAAATTATGAACTATTAGCAATTACTAACCTCACATCTAACACAACTTTCTGTTCTATTTCTTTCTGCATAAGCCTACGGGTGCTAGAAAAGACAGACTGTAAGACCTGCAATATTAKGTGTCTGCTTCTACTCCTACTAAGTGTGGATGATTGTACAGGAAAGGCAATTGTTTATCTAAATCAAGATAAGCATTATTTCCATATGTTCCATCACCAGGGGAAAAGCATTCACAGATGCACTGTAGTACTTCAGTTTTGTGTACAGATTTSCTCTATCACTTCTTGGACTTAAACAAGATCAGAACCTGAGCACAAGGAAGAAACATCTGTTGCAGACAAATCACTTTCTCCCCAGCCAAAAATGCAGCACAACATGCAAGTCAGAAGCACTTGATGATGAACACCTTCTCCCTGGCTGCACACTCTGTCAATATGGTCTGTTTCAGCTAATTACCAAGTGGCATAATTGGATTAGCTGAGGACTACAGCCAAGTTCCAAACTCCGGAGGCAAACAGACACAACAAATCACAGAACAGATGTGGCTGAGTGGCATCTCTAGTGATYGTCAAGACACCCAGACCAAGTTGTCCAGGACCTTGTCCCAGCTGAATTTAAAGTTATCTCCAAAGACAGATTCCACAACCTCACCCAGCAACCTGTTCCAGTG